CATGTGTGCTGATTGGCTCTGGTACTTACCTCCTGAATTTAGAAATACCAAGAATCATCATCTTTGGTGAGCGGTGGTGGTGGGAGTGGTCCTTAAATGTTCCACAGAAAAACTCAGAGGGACAGCAGCAGCCCACCAAGGCCACTCACTGATGGGCCAAGGGAGCCTGGACTCAAAGTTCACAACCCTATTTACTACTCATCACAGCTGCTGGTCTGCTTCCCCAAACCAGAAAGGCTGCAGTGACCTTCTGTCCTGGGGAAGGGTTCTCTGTAGGACACACACAGGATGTCAGGAAAGCTAGCTGTGGGCAACACCAAGATGAGGACAACTTGGCTGTGGTCATTTAGATGAGATAGCACAGTGTAATCGAGAGCAGAGTTTGGAATCCAACAGATAGGGGTTCAAATCCCACTTCTGAACTCTGGTCTCTGTATGGCCTTGGACTAATTACCTCTCTGATTCTTTCTATCTATACTTGGAGGCCACAATACTCATCACACAGACCTGCTTGAGGGTTCACTGAAATTGTCTGGCACAAAGAAGGCGTTCAATAAAGGGCAGCTGTGCACAGCCTTGTGTCATTGTTAGTGAAACTCAGAAGCTGTGGTTCCATGTCCAATTTGTTTGGGCCTTATCATAACAATAAAACCCCCCATTTCAGCACTGTTTCTCTTTGGAGTACCCCTTCCTATCTAATTTTCAATTCTGGAACATCCTAAGAAAAGATTACAAGAAATCCTAAATCCAAAACTTAATTCCATCTCAGAACTCAAGATTCCCCTGGGCTCGGGGTTGGCATAGAGTGGCTGGCAGGGGTGAGGCTGTGGAAATGGAGAGTAAGTTAGTGGAAAAGAGCAATGTGTAGTGTCCAACCTGAGACAGTTTTCCTAAGGCTGGAGAGAGAGAGATGCAGAGGAACCATGTGGCGTCAATGTTTATGACCCTCCTTCCATTGCCTTCTCGAAGCTGTATCTGTACTTTTGGTTTCTCTGTTGATATTTGAAAATCTTAGTCCTGTGCTGCCTCACATCCCTCCCCAGATGCACAGCAGGTGTTTTTATTGTCAGAGGAATTCAAGAAGAGCAAATTCTTTTGCTTCTACTGTAATTCACCATTGCTCTTTTGTTTCCAGAAATCGAGCCACTCTCAATGGATTTCCATGGTGAATTCTGCAGCTACATCCATCCCAAACACAGGGATCTTGAGTGTCAGCGAGCACATCTGAGATGCAGGGTCTGCCCCAGAGAATGCCTGGAGACGCAGCAGCTCACAGCCCTGCCAGTCCCGAGTCCTCACTGCCGTGCCCTCCTCAGGAGGCTGCTGAGGCTCCTGGTTCAGCATGAGAAGCCAGTGGTAGTCTCCTGGGCAGAACCCGCCCACAGCCTCTGTCCCGCTGGGGAGCTTTGGGCCCACCTGCCCAGGGACTGCCCTGTTGCTGGGAAGGGGCTGGGGCTGCAGACAGAGGGTGTGTGGACTTGTGGGAATTGCGTACTGAGAGCCCAGGTCTTAGTCTCATTGTAGCCCAGCACTGGTATTTCCAAGCCTTTTCCTGCCAGAGATAATGTGAATATCCCCCTGTGATAGAGTATTTTTCAGGGCATTAAAAGAATTGGTTTAGAAGAATTGGACTTTGTCTCCAAATAACAATGAGAATTTGTCCTGAGCCTTCTTGATAAGAAATGAGAAAGGAAATTATTCCTGGAGGCAGGAGGAGCAGAGAACCATCCCAACAAAAGGCACAGATTTTTCATCGTGTGTTACTGCTCTTTGAAATAAGCATTTCTTCAAGCTCATTCTTTGGTTAAAACAAAGCGCTCTCACGTCTGAGACGACCTTGGCCATGTCTTGGTTTAGGAAGGAGAATCCGATCTAGGAGAGCTGGTGGGTGAGCAATGGTGCACCTGGTCTCAGCTTGGCAAGCTGACCCCTTCACCCTGATTGTGATGCTGAGTTGGGCCACAGGCTGCCTTTAGGGGTAAGTGTTCCCCTTAGAGCAGTCCCCATTGATTTAATAACTACCTGCCTTAAAAGGTGATCCCTGGGTGGCACAAATACTTTGTGATGCTGATCTAAAGGTTGGTGGTTTGAACTCACCTGGTGGCACCATGGAAGAAAGGTCTGGTGAATGGTTGCCATAATGTGGCTGGTTTTCTGGTCCCGAAGTGAAAAACTCACTAGGCCCTATGGTAAAATCTCTGTGGAACGAGATGTTCTAGTGAACTTCTGGCCATTCTTGGAACAATCAAATTGTCCTTCCATGAGACCTTTGCAATGTTAGAATTCTAGGACTCCAAATGTAGATTTCATTTTTTTCCTCCTCCCTTTTTTAAACTAGAAAATGAACAAAACTTAAACCTCTTTGGAGCAGCATTTAATATACAGAGAAAAACAAAAGAAGCAGGAACTGTCTGTGTTCTGGAAGTTTGAAGGCTCAGTGAAGACTCAACAGCTACTTTCAGAAAGTGAATGGAGCCCTGCCAGTCCTGGCTGCACTGTTACCAGAGCACAGTAGGTGATGGGCTTGCCCAGAGTCAGAGTCAACTCCAGGCAACTTTGTTTTAAATGAAGAGGTGAAGAGGGGAGCCTGTGCCTTAGGCAACACTGGGGGTCAGGTGGAAGTCTCTGGGTTAGTCAGAACACAGCAACCCTTCCCCTGGGTGGTCCTTGGCAGCCACAGACCCTCTCTGGCATAGGGAAATGGGGATAATAATAGTCACTCCCGCCAGGGGGCGACTGTGTCTATAAAGCAAACTAGCCCAGGGCCAGGTTCCCTTTGTTATTATCAGGGCCCCCTGCAGCTGCACCTGCATCAGTATAGGGGGCAGATGGTTCTATCTCCACCGATTTAAAAAGCTTGGGAAACAACTCCGTTTCTTATTCCTCTCTCTCCCTCACGCTGCCCCGCCCATCTGATGCTTCTCTTCTCTTCCCTCCCATCTACTCCCAGTCTTAGCATCATCCCCCTCTCTGACCTTCAGTGGGAGGTGCCTGGTTCCCGGCAAGAGGAAGCCCCTGGGGTCTACTTTTCTTTCTCCAGCTGCTTCCCTGCTGAGCACCCCGCTGCCCAGCCCAGAGATCTCCCTCCCACTTTCTCACTCCGGTAGCACACCTCCTGCTGCTGTTCCTCTTGTACCTAATAATTAACAAGTCTAACACGGAGTCCGCCATCTTCCTCCCTATAAAATTAGCCTGTGGCTTTCCTCTCCCGGTTCCCGGTCCTCCAAGTGCGGAACACTTGGCTCTCCTCCACTCTTCTCTCCTCTCACCTGCCCCAGGCCTCCTGCCTCACCGTCACTTTGCCGATTTGGCCCTCATCCTTAACTCTGGGGCATTTTAGGCAGTCTCCCCGGCCTCTGGCCATCCTCAGTCCTATTTCTATCCTTTCATGACAGTCTCTTAGATGGAACCCTACAGCCGTGTCAAATCTTTCCCCACCACCCCTTCTTATAAAGCGCATTCACATCATTCATCCTGAGAAAGAAAACCATGTGCACAGAAAAGAAAGCCGTTTCAGTTGCCACTTGTTTATGGACTTACATATCCTTTCACTGCTCTGGGACATCTTCATCACCAACTTTAAATCACTCTATTTCCCACCTACCTTAGCCCCTCCTTGTCCTCCTTTTTGGGGCTCCAGGAAGACAAGTCTGCCTAAATCAGAGCAGGCTGACTGCCCAACTCAGAAACATCCCACCTGCAGCTAATTCTAGTTTTGCCATCAGACTTCTTCCGCAGTGGCTATCTGTCAGCTCTGTTCTATGCGCAAACCTGGTCTGAGAAGATGGACCTGGTCATTTTTAAAGGCCACATTTGATTTCTGCCTAGTTAGTGCTCTGGTGGCATAGTGCCTAAGGCAGTTGACTAATCTACTTCCGTAGAGACACCACCTCGGAAACCCAAGGAGGGGTCGCAATGAGTCGGATGGGCTCCACGGCAGTAAGTTTTTTTGTGAGTAGTTAGTGCCACTGAGAAGCACACAGCTACTTGGGAGAAGCAGCAGGGCTGGATTTGATGGAGCCTTACAGTGGTGTCTTCTGATCGACACCTCCGTTAAGGCCTGACCCTACTAAGCCTTTAACAGCCTCATGGTTTGGGGGGCAGGTCTGATTTGCGATGCTCAGTTGGGGCGCGTGTGTGGTGGTGCTTCGGTATGTTTTCGCTTTGGACTAGAACTCTTTCCCCTCAGAGCAACATGAAGGATGATGATTGCTGTTGGCAGCGCCTAATCCATTGCTCTCCACTCCATGAATATTGTTACCTGCCACCCATTCCAGCCCCCGGGGAATCTGGACTCGCGGAGGCATAGAACCTTCTTACAAGATCCGGAGTATGACCGTAATTTTACTTTTGAAGCGCCCGCTTCCCAGAGGACTTGCCAGTGATTGATGTCACTGTCAGAAACCCAGATGCACACACTCATATATCAGCCGTGAAATTACATAAACAGCTCACCCAGCAGGCCAGAGTAGACTCACCCATTTGCACCCCTATAGAAAGGGAGAGGTGATCGGAAACCCAGGGCAGCAGCAGAAAACAGACAAGGGAGGGGCATTTGGAAGAGGATTGGGTTCTTACAGATCCACCCAGATTTCTCCTTCCTCATCTTCTGCTGAGGCTACAGTTTGGGGTTTCTAGCTGTATTGCTGTGTAGCTAGGACTATGGGGAGTTGTTTGGAAAGGTTTGTCCCTGGAGCGTGCAGCCAACTTATTCTCGTGGTGCATGTACATGGGGACGTATAGGTGTACACACATACCCTTCCCTTCTATAGGTACGGATGATATCTACATTTTCCTTTGAGGTGGATGTGACCTACCTAGGCTAAGCTCACACTATGACATTTAGTCTCTTTGGAGAGCAAGTCTATGTGGATTCCAGTAGGATGGGCAGTGAGACTGGTTGGTTGCTAAGAAGATGTCTGAAAAGTGAGGACACTACTAAGACAGCAAAGTGGAAAGCAGTCAGGTGGCCGCTGGTGGCTGGTGGCTGTGAGGGTTGCTTATCGGTAGCGGCAGGCCAAAGCATTGACGTTTTTGACCACATAAAAGCCCATGGTGACTGGAGGGATGACCAGTGTCCGGCCAGCCCGCAGGGGGCGGGGCTTCAATTCTGGAAGGGTCCCGTCGTCCACCATCACTAAGGGCTGGCCGTTCAGCTGCACTGACCTACGGTGAGAAAAGACAGGTGGGGATTCATTACTGCGTTATAACAAATTCATCACAGCAAAGTCTGGGGACGCTCCAGATCGCTGCCGGTCTGTGCGATGCAGGTCCAGGTGGCACTTACTGACGCTCACTACGCCCCAGGCTCTGATCCGGGTGCTTTATACTTCATAGCTCTTTCAATCACCCTAACAGACCTTGAGGTAAGGAGCTATCATTATTCCCATTTTTCATAGAGCAGTTAAGTGACTAGCCCAAAGTATGTACAGCTTGTAGGTGTGCAGTCAGGATAAGAATACAGGTAGTCTCATTCCAGAGACACGTAACTGAGACAAGTGAAAAGTCTCTGTGATGCAGAAACTGAAAGCAGTTTCATGCCCCTTGCCCCCTTTATTTAAAAACACACTGGCAATCCAACTTCACTCTCCTATCTAGTGTTCTTACTTCTCAACTGTTGCATACCAGTCCATTAGATTCTAACTAAGAGCAGCAAACCCACTCGTGTATCAGAGTGGAACTGTCCTCCGTGTGGCTCCAGGTGATTTCCAGTGGCTGGAAGCAGATCGCCAGACATTTCTTCCCAGGCATCTCTGGATAGACTTGAACCGCCGACCTTTTGGTCAGCAGCTGAGTGTGTTAGCTATTTATATCACCCAGGGGTTCCAAGTAACGCATAAACCAAAAACCAAACCCACTGCTGTCAAGTTAGCCCCAACTCATAGCCACCCTATAGGACAGAGTAGAATTGTCCCATGGTTCTCAAGGCTGTAGATCTTTATGGAAGCAAACTGCCTCATCATTCTCCGAAGGAGTGGCTTGTGGGTTTGAACTGCCAACCTTTTGGTTAGCAGCTGAATGCTTTAACCACTGTACCACCAATGCTCCTCAAATGATGCATTAAAACAACAACAACAACGACGATGACAACCAAACCCACTGTCATCAAGTCAATTCCGACTCATAGCAATCCCCATTAGGTTTCTGAGGCAGTAAATCTTTACAGAATTGCTGTCTTCTTTTGGCAGAGTGGCTGGTGGGTTTGAACTGCCAACCTTTTGGTTGGCAGCTGAGTGCTTTAACCACTGTACCACCAAGGCTCCTCAAATGATGCATTAAAACAACAACAACAACAACCAAACCCATTGTCATCAAGTCAATTTAGACTCATAGCAACCCCCATTAGGTTTTCGAGGCAGTAAATCTTTACAGAATTGCTGTCTTCTTTCGGCAGAGTGGCTGGTGGGTTTGAACCGCCAACCTTCTGGTTAGCAGTCAAATGCCTCAGGCAGTGAGCCACCAGAGAATCTTCAAATGATGCATAGGCTTGATAATTTCAGAAAATCTTCTATTTAATTCAAAACCTGATTATGTATTCAATAGATTAGAGTACTGACTTCGTGCTCCATATGTGGGCTTGTTCCCAAGGCAGACAGAAGCATCCTAACAACTCTACTTTTTCTAACCTAAAAATGTTTCACAGATGTTTCTATTTTAGCAGCACCAAAATCATGGGTGATAAAGTTGGTATTTGTGATCTCGACTCAGCTGCCTTGTTTGCTTTTATTCTTCCTGCATAGTCAGCCATTTTCAACCCTGAGAAGGAAGGAGGACCACATACATAGCAAACTTCGAGAGAGAGAGAAGGGAAACAGCTCATTGGAGGCTGGATTCGAAGGAAAATGCCACCCACCTGTGGTACAGAAACCAGATAACTTCTAGCTCTTTCTGCCTGGGGTGTGACTTGTACCGCCATGTACCCAGGCGGAAACTCAGTTTTATAGGGTGGTAGAAAAGGTCAGAGCCAGGCTACCAGCTGGAAACAAGGCTGTGTGTCACCTTTGGAAAATCAATGTGGCATAGTGATGACCGCTTCCGGGGTTTACCCACCCTCCAAGTAGTAACATGCAGTGCTAGCATGCATCCAAGTTGTAAAGAGAATATACAGTGTAATAAATTGACACAGAGATCTTTGTTAAGTGCTCTTTGTGGGCTATGAATGATAGACAGATTTAGGGAAAGATAATCAGACCTATGCTCATACTGCAGTGAATTCCCAGAGATAAGTGTGTTGTAAATAACTCCCAAAGGAAAGCAAGGCGGAGAAGCAGGCCCAGGCCTGGCCCATGTGGGTAGGTTTGGACTGAGTCCAGATCGGAAGGGCCAGGGGGAGCAGCCTCCTCCTCTTGTTGGTATTGCTGGTCTTGTTGGAAAGAGTGGGGCTCCTGTATGAGGAGCCAGGCCTGCCTCTGGAAGTTATGTGCATGGGAGAATCTGGTCTAAGGATCAGTGTCCACGTCATCAAACATGCAGAGAGCTTTAGCTTCCAAATGCAAGTGACCACTGGTGAAGACAGCCTACACACTGGAGTGGGAGGAAGGTGAGGAAAGGGGGTTCTTTTGCTAAAGGAGCCCAGATAGGTCTTCTTAGTGTATTTTCCTTATTTTGTTTCAGGTGATGTATACATCCGGTAATCTGACATACGCACAACCAAATACAAATTCAATAACACTGATTAATTTTTCCAGTGCACACACAAATTTATATTACTTCTCTGATTGAAAACTTTCAATGGTCCCTTTTCTCTATAGAATTAGGAGCAAACCCTCCCCTGAGGAATTAAGTAATGCCCTTTAAGACATAGATGATTCCAGAGTATTGATAGTTTTGGGTTCCGGGAAGTGCAAACAAGGCTGGATTAAGACATGTGAGGGCCCTAAACATTGATAATCTGTGGTACCCCCTCCTCTGCTTACTCACACATCCTAATATGTGAACTATATAAGTGTGTGTGTGTGTCTTAGCTATCCATGATGTAAATTCTTTTAAAATGTGACTATAATACTAGTAAGGAGTTCTCATGGTGCAGTGGTTAAGGCATTTGGATGCTAACCCAAAGGTCGGTGGTTCAAACACACCAGCTGCACTGCAGAAGATGAGGTGGTCTGTTTCTGTAAAGGTTTACAGCCTTGGAAACCCATGGGGGTCACTATGAGTCAGAATCAACTGTATGGCAGTGAGTTTGGCTTGGTTCTAATATCAGTGATTGAATGCAAAAGTGGTATATGCCATTTCAGCAGAATGAGATGAAATGGATTTTGAAATTTTTAGTGGATGTATGGTATTAAGATTTTTACTGTCTACCACATTTTCTACAAAAATAATATTCCACATATTCTACAATAAAGAAAACGAGTCAGTGAACTTAGTTGTTTCAACAGTCAATGTAAGATTCTGTTGCTCTCCCACACTGAAAAACTGACTTTTATCACTTTTGCTTTAAACAGCTTATACTTTAATTCTGATGCTTGTTTTGTAATAAGTGCTATAATTATAAATGAACAAATGAAGAGATGTCATAAAAGTTAATGATCAGAAAAATATGTTAGAAGAAATTATTATATTTTATTTTTAGATCGAGCTTTCATCTCTAACATGTTATAATTGGGGAAAAAAAGTCCTTCTATTCTTTGCTCTTAAAAATTCTTCAGTGATTTTATCACTGTTAAGCTGCCAAACAATAGATCTATTTCTCTACATAATATAGATAATGAGTTGAGTCTTTCTTGAATCATTGTCCACTGAGGGATTTTGAGTCTCTTTAGGGATGAAAATGAGCATCTTGTTGTGCCATTTGTGATCATTAAAGTTAGGAATATGCATAAAGCAATTTCAACAGTGGGAAATACACATGGTATTTTATTTTCTGTTATGGAATCACACGTGCTTACATGAGGAAAATTTGTGGTTACTGGGTTTGTAAACTTAGTCTTCATGTAAGAATGAAACTGTTGCACTTCTTCATAAAGGTTTGTATTTAACTCATCAGGATATGCCTGTACTCATTTCTTGGATGCCTTAATACATTATTCTTCATGAGGTAGATCCATGTTGTTTAAGAAGGAAAATCTATTTCAAAGAACATCATACACTTTCACCCTTCTTTTCATGCAAGATTCGAGTATCAATGATGGTGTAGTAAGTATTTAGTTACATGAAATTGATCTCTGGCACTCAATATTTCCAGAATACTTCTGTCATTTTTTTCGCCCCTAATGCTTCTGTGATGGTGAGCTGCTTGATAATCAGTATTTGATAGTATTTGTTCTGTTGTGTTTTCAAAATTTCCAAAATCTTATTTTAAATTATGTAAATATCCTTTTAATGACTGGTAGAGATCTGTGCATGTCTTTAGATTTACTTCTGAACCTTGGACAGATGAAAAATGCTGCAATATATTATTCCACATAACCGACATGCATACATACTCTGTGTTTGCATTTTATTGGTGATGTTTTCAGCTTCTCTTTTAATATCTCATTTTTTAGTATCTTGTCTTCAGCAATATTTTCTAAAGTATCTAGAATCTGAGTGTATGGTTACAGGATTGCACCCATTGCTACAGCACAAGATTCCATTGTGTATTAGAAAGGCATTTTAATACTTGATTGTTGCCTAAATATGTTTTAAGAGTTGCCCATTGGTAAGTAGAGACAGCAAAACAGGTGTAGAGCAACTGATGTGTAGAAAACAAACAATTGCTTCCGGACAACAATCTACTGCACTATGTCCTAAAAGATTTAAGTAATTGTGCAGCACATAGAAAGAAAATGACACATTTATTACATTCTAACATGTTCTGTGCAATGTTTTTATAACACCCTGACATATTAGCATATTGTCATAGGACTGGCCTCTGCACTTAGAAAAATCAATTTTGCACACATCATGTAAATAGTGAAATACTTGCTTTGCAATTTCTTCACTGGTATGACTTTTTAAGCTAGTAAATGTGATAACTCCCTCAACAGCTTTTTCCATCTGTTGTAGATCTTAAAATAATATTTTGCTGATCTGTATGAGAATAAGAAAGATTAGGAGTGGAATCTACAGACAAACGGAAATATTAAACTATATTTATTTCACTGAAAATAGTTGATTAAGTTCATTAATTCTTCCAACATTGTTTTAGACATACACGATGGGTTGCCTTTTCCTGTTACCGT